ATACACCATTATGCTCCTGTGGTAGGTCAAACATATCACTCATGAATGACAATTCATATCTTCCTACACTTTCTCTGATGCACGTGTTTATATCCGGGAGAACGGCACCCTCCGACAGCACCTGCGCCAGCATCAGAACAATGTCAAAAACAAGAAAGTGGCATCTAATGCACTGGCGGAGCATACAGATACGACTAATCAAACTATGGACTAGTTGAATGCGAGCATATCGGGAAAGAAACTGGACGTCACGCCTGCATCTCGAGTCCTTCGAGATACAATCTACTGAAGAAACGCTGAATCGTAATGTTGGAAAGCTTCCCTCGTGCTATGCATAGTGCTTGCGTCACTTTTTGAAACCTATATAGTTAGTTGCTTTTAGTGTTCTTGGCTTCAGTGTGTACGAAACGTCTTTTTAAAAAAAGTTTATTTGGTCGGCATTCGCTTTTATTTATCATGCCAAAATATCTGCTCAGTCAGAGACTTTGTACTTCATTTCTGATGTCGTAGTGGGCATAGCATTTGTGGGATTCTTGTGCACTTTTTGGTGGCATTATTAGATGCGAAGCAGCTCTATGACTAGCCTGTGTAACGCTGTCCCTGCGTCTGCACCGCTCCCCTCGCTGTAGCTGTTGGAGCGGTGCCGAGTTGCTCATGCCCTCTTAGCAGTGCATAGTGACGTCTCTCCCTCGCCTACCATGCGCTCGCCGCGTGTCAACTCTCTCTCTCGCTTCACCCTCTCTACGGCTCGAGCCCACTCCTCATGTGGGAATCATCTCACCCGCGCCACCTCTCTCCATCTGTCGGCGAGAAGAAGTAGCGATCTGGCTGGTGTGGGTGCTGCCCGCGCCTCAAAAATCTGGCGGGGTCGACAATGTGGACTGCGCACCGCTGCTTGCCACACGAACGCGCTGACAGGCCTTTGTAGCATGCTTCCTGCTAGTGTGCGCGTACCTTTCTCGGCTGTCGCCGGCATTACGAGGGTTAAGGAAGCCGATAGAGTTCACAAATGGCGACGTCAACACCGACCAGGCGCAAGCCCAGGAAGCCGAACGAAAGCGTCATCAGTGGAAGACCAGCGACACGGACGAGGTGCGAGTCAAGAACACCGATTGCGTTTGAGAATACGGGTGGCGCGTGTGTAACACCGATGAAACGTGAGCCAAGGAAGCCGAGCGCAAGCGTCTTCAATGCGTCCCGCCTCCCGTGTCTTTGATTTCAAACGTTTACTCGAGTAAACGCTACACTGAGTTTCTCTTCAAACCGTTCGTTCGTCTAGCACCTGCGTCGACGCTCGTTTTCACCGGGTTAACGCCGTGCGCACCGCTGCTGCTTCGCATCCCATCAGGGTTCCCTTCGAGGAGATGGTCCATAGTTTTTTTTTTATTTTCAAGGTAGTAACCCAAAACTTTAATCCAAACTGCTTCAGGTAGACAACTTAGGTTTACATTTGAGAGAAAAAATTGATTCGGTTATTGCATACAGCAGTAATATACCCGTTTCTTGGTCTCGAGGGTTACCTCTCTTTGCCAACGCTGCTATTCTGCGATGACTGGTGGTGTGGCACTCGCAACTAAACTCCATTGTCAGAAGCCTATGGGGTCCTTTGGCTGGGTGAAGCTTAACAGGGGTGAGCAATTGTGAGTGACCCTAAAGATTTTGAGTACCACAGGCACCTGTTCCGCGCCTAAGCTGGTAACATATTATGAATGTGTTGTAAATGATGTCATAAATGTTGCAGTATGTGACTTGATGTGTGTTTCGAAAATTTCAAAACCTTGTATACCGTAGAAGGCATGTATCTGCATTATGTTTCTTGAGCCATCTTTCATGTTTTGGCTTTTATGGTGTGTTATGATTTACCTAGCTGTCTTCCCCATGATAACAGAGGCATTAGGTTTTGTGAACCTGTGACAATGGATGATTATGGTTTTGTGTTCAAATTGTTCACAAAGTTGGAGTTGCTGAACAACTGTGGCTGTCAGCTACATAACCTTCCTGCCATGATCAGCAATGGTTTTCATGTGTTTAGTGGCTTAGTAATAGTGGGGACTAAATTAAGCGAATGATGAAATGTGTTGAAAGGGACACTTGTGCAGACCTATTGCTGGCCAGGTCTGCTGTATAGACAAAAACTGTGTGCAGCAACATTACCACCCATGATGTGTTTGTGAACTGTGGCAGTTCCTTTTTGGCTGATGTGATCTTCGCACTTTTATTCAACATTTGGAGCATTTAACTGCACAAGCTAAGTGCCTTTACCATGTCACTAACTTGCTGAAGGAACGTCATCAATGCCACTGTCTTGACAAGGGACGTTCACTTCAGCAACATTCCTTGCCCTGCCATTCACTTAAAAAGCCCCCATATTCTTTTTGTTGAGATTTGCCACATTATGAAGCTCAGTGAGTATTTAATCCTTATTTATTGGTTTGCCCAAGTTAGCGTGTTGTGGCACACCAATTCGATTGTTGGTTATGTTCAACTGAATGGATGTTGCTCTGCCTTTGGCTCCTGTATCATGTGTATGTATCAGTTCAATTACTTAATGTGTTATTATTGTATTAGTTTTCAAGAAATGTGGAGCATTTAAAGGAAAGTGCATCTTTTATATTTCACTTGACTGTGAGATACTGTGACCACTTTTTGATGCATTGGATGATATGTGATACAAGTAAATAAATAGCTTATACGTTCCCTGCCTTTACTGTCTCCAGCAACCTAGACATATGTCTACAGTAGAATGGCTGCTACAACTGACAGGAAGAGCAGGCACACAGTAAAAATGTCGGAGAGTTACATGTCCTCAAGGCATGTGCAAACACAGCCAGATGCCTTTACTTCCTTGTCCTGAACGAGATGACGTGAGCGCAGTGCTCGTGACTCAAGTATCATGTCCTTCGGGAACCAGCGCTGGAGTATTCGTCCTGGCAGTCAAAGCGCGCATATCTTTGGGGCTTCCACGGACGAAAGTGGCAACTGGACTTGGAGTGCAGACTCGAAAAGCAGAGGGGTGCAATATCCGCAAAAGTGTAAAACTTGAGACCACATGCCTGGATCGCGCCCGGAATTATTTTCTCTGCACGGAACACTGACACAGCCAGTCGGGGTTTGAGACATGCGTGCAGTGTGCCGCAGCATGGCGACACGTCCACCATGGACATGCCGCGAGGCCTTCGCAGTTGTTCACAGGAACAACCCCACGGCACAGACCTCTGCCACTCGAGATAGATTCTCATACGCGGTGGCCGCTGGTGGCTCTACTGCTCTATCCATGAGCCCCACCACCCGTCCTGAGAACGCCTCGACGATCTTGGTACAGGCGGCCGCAGACTGTGCAGCGTTGGGCTTTTTTTCTCTCGACAACCAGTTCACCTGCTCTGCATAGCAGCGCTGGCTACGCAACAAGGTATATGACACATCATGGCGAGTAAATCGTGTGCACAGCGGCCACGCATCCTTCAGCGGAACTGTCGTTCTTTGCGCTGCCGTTACAGTGAGCTCGTCGAGTACTTGCGGCTCAACGAGTATGACATCGTCGCGCTACAAGAAGCCTATGTAAGCGACAGCGAATGCAGCCTTACTGGTTATACACGAGTTACCATTGTAGAGCAAGGTGTCAAGTGCACGACTGCGAAGTTAGATGTGTGCTGCGACCCCACATACCCGCACGCCTTCTCTTTTGCCTCCGTGGACTCGCACATTGCTCCATTGACATTTCTGACACCCTGTGCAGTTAGATTGTGTGGCAGTGAAAGTGCAGCTCGGTCAGTGTGACATGGCAGTGGCGCGTGTTTATGTCCACTGTGTGCACAGATGGAACACAGCATTTGTGACCCGTTTGGTGTGACGCCTCCAAGGTGTTTGTGTCATCTGCGGGGACTTGAACTCGCACTATACCCCTTGGAGCAGTGACCACACAGACTGCAGAGGCAGATACCTTTTGGACACCACTACTGGGGCAGGCTTGCTTATCATAAACACGGACTGTCAGACTTTCAAGCGTCGCAGCATCAAGAGCAGTGCGAGAGACCTCTCACCTATGAGTGACCATTGCCAGTATGAGTGGAAGAGGGAGGCAGACACATTCACTATCCCCTTCACCTAAAACCACTCGATCAGCGTCGCGCGGGCATACGCACGTACACTGTGACTGACTGGCCGAGGCATTCCTGCGAGGCGTCGCCTGCATCAGATGCAGCCGTCAACACTTGGCCGTCAACACCCGGCTGCAACTACCTGCCATCCCAGACGCGTCAACTGTGGAGGCACCCTGGCAAAAGGCCGACCTCTCCCCGCTGGCAGGAGGAGCGGAAAGTGACCACACTGCTGGCCTTGGCACCAACGCCGCTCTCGAGATGGGCAGTCAAGGCCACACTATGCAAGGAGTACCGGAAGGTTCGCTGCTATGCTGCTGCGGTCAGGGCCAACCTTCCCGAGAGCCCCACCAAGGAACCCGGCCTGCAGCGCCCCATTCCAGGGCCGCGCCGTTCCATCCTGCTGCCAGTGAGACCGTCCACTGCGAGCCCATTCCTTTCCCCACCGGCTGAGCCGGCCGAGGACCTATGGGACGCCCTCATCGTCTCCCTGCTCGCTGTACTGCGTGCAGTCGGCGACGCACTGCCCCAGGAACACCCATTGCATGCTGTGTGTCTTGCAGCGCTCAGCGGGCAGTCCGGAACCACCCTGCTCTACTAAGAGCCCTGCCGCCGGGGCATAAGTGCCCAACCACCATCGAGATGCTCCACAAGACTCTCGTCCATTACTGGCTGCTGTTGTTAATGTGGCAGTTGCCCCTTCGTCCATGTGTTGCGACCTGCCGACTGCTTCTATCCCTACCTCTATTTCCACTATTTTTATCCCTCCTTCTCCATTCCCCTACAAGGCACTGTGCCGTGTCACCCATGAGGCAGATGGAAATTAGGTGAGTTTTTCTTCTTCTCTACACTCACTCACCACACTGTTTTCAGCAAGTCTCGGCTGCTTTCCTACCTTCCGGTATGGCCTACTTTTCGCATGTCGGCCACTACATCGAATGGATTACCGTGGCACTCGACCTTTTCTCTCCTTCGCAGTGCGGCTTCCGCTGTTCGCGTGCCACTGCCGAGGTCGTTGCAACGCTAGATGAGGTTCTACACAACAGAGAGGCCGGCTACCTCATCCTGCTTAACAGTAACGCAGTATTTCACTCCCTGCCACACCCCACTATTCTGAACGTGGTGCGCGATCTCAGAGTGGCTGGTCTTCTTTTCGCGTACATCACTGCCTTCCTCGGCGGCAGAACTATGTGTGTGTGCGTCGATGGAGTTTTTAGTGAGCCGCCTCCTGTGAATGTCGGTGCTCTGCAGGGCAGTGTACTCAGCCCCTTTCTGTTCAAGCTCGCCCTGGCTGACACCGACGACCACGTTCCCCGTGCCCTCCCCTGTGATGTACGCGTCGCCCTACGCGCATAACATTGCGGTGTTCGCGATGGGACTTACACCTAGTGGCCAGCGTGTTTGCACGCGCACGATTGTGCAAACTGTCCTCGATTGCATTGACGTGTTCATCGCAAGCAAGAACATAGCCCCCTGGATCTGTGGGCGCACGCGCGCCAGCAGATCCAGGGGGCCGTGGCAAGGGAATGAGGCTTTCGCCAGCGAAAACGGAAGGGATGCTGATGTACCCTAGCTATAGCGCCCAGCACTACACATGAAGGTTCACTCTCCAAACAATCCAAAAAGGTGAGTGACGTACCTCGGAGTGCAGCTGGACCAACGTCTCAAAAGTTCACCAGTGGTCAGCGACCAGCTTCGGTTGCTCGAGCGCTTCTTGCGTGCGGCAATAAATAGACGCCAACTCTAGCTCTCCGCATCTACAGTGGCATGGCTGCGGCGCGCATTTTGTACGGCCTTCCTCTTGCGGCGCTTGTGCGTTTAAGCTGGGAGGTACTAGACGCAGCACATTGTAGTGCGATCTGCCAGTTCATCAGCTTGTCCCAATCCTCTCAAATCGGCCCAACACTCGCTGAGGCGGGGGACATGCCGCTGTCGCTCCGGGCAGACCTTTCAGCGCTCAATCACATGGACAGAATGAAATGCTCGCGTCACGGAAAGCAGCTGGTATTCTGGCTCTCTTCGTGCTGCAGAGCTAAGTAGCCTGCATAGATTTGTCTACGATGCGGTCTTCTCCAAGCTGTCTATTTGCCAGCTACGTGAGAATTGGAATGGGACATAAGATAGCCGCCATCCATTTGGCTGTCTATTTAGCCATCTACGGTGAGTATTGGAACACACCCTAATTTTCGGGCAGCATGGGCTCGGTGCTGTCTTCTAAGCAGTCTGCATAGACTGTCTACGTGCTATCTAAGAATTGGAACACAGCCATGGTAAATGTGTCGGCGAGGCTTGTGTTGGCTCGTGTTGAGCGAGGCTTCAGCTCAAAAGCGAGTATGACTGCGTAAATTAAAGCTTCCCTAAAACAAAATGTTTATAAGCGATCTCATTCACCTCTATTATATTCCAAAATAAAAGTCTACTCACCTTGGCGGCACAACCAAACGGCGAAGGAAAGGAACAGACGACATAAATGTGGCGGAACGAACGCTCCCTTTGTCGTCTGTTTGCCAAATTTAGCGGCGGATGGTTACTTCGTACGCTTCTTAAAATTGTACATCAACGTAGAAGGCTCTAGAACAGTGGCTGGAATAGGAAAGTGGGATGAACGTGCCGGCTATCGCGTAATGCCTTGAGAGGAAACTGCCAGATTGCGCTGGCACACATTTGCATATCCGCATGTTTGCACAGCTACCGTAACAGTCGCATCAGTGGTCTGCAGGCTGGCAATGCAGATTATAAAAGAAAAACTGCAGGCATGGTAGAGGATGAGGGGGTGCTGGGGCAACTGCAGAATGGATTTCGGAAACACAGGAGGATGGAAAAAATCTGTTCTCACTGGTGCAGTGCATCGAAGTAGCAGAAAAGGAACACAGGCCCTAGCTGTGGCTAGCATTTTTGGATATCAATGGAGCGTACGATAACGTGGTTCAAGAGGACTTGTGGGAAATACTGGACACACTAGGTGCGGAAGATGGAGTCGGTAATCTTTTGAAGGATACTTATAAAAATAACAAGGTAGTTATAGTGTGGGAAAAACAGGTATCCAAGCCCACAGAGGTAAAACGGGGGCTTAGGCAGAAGTGTCCTCGGTCACCCTTGTTATTCATGATGTACCTACAAGAATTAGAGGCCAAGTTAGAGGGAATTGGACTTGGCTTCAACCTCTCTTTCGTCAAACAAGGAAAACTCATTGAACAGGCACTACCAGCATTGATGTACGCAGATGATATAGTGCTAATGGCCGGCAAGGAAGATTTGCAAAGATTGATGGACATCTGCGGTAATGCGGGAGATAGGTTAGATTTCAGGTTCAGTGAGGAAAAATCAGCAGTCATGATTTTTAATGGCAATGAAGGTAGTGAGCTTAGAATACAGGGGGTCACGCTAGAGATAACAGATAAGTACAAATATCTGGGTGTGTGGGTAAGAAATGGGGCCGAGTACTTAAGGGAACCCGAAATATACGTGTTGACTAAAGGTAACAGGAATGCAGCAGTGATGAAAAATAGGGCACTGTGGAATTACAATAGGTGTGATGATGTGAGAGGAATATGGGAAGGGGTCATGGTTCCGCGTCTGACGCTCGGCAATGCGGTCTTGTGCATGTGATCAGAAGTTCAAGCAAGATGAGAAAATAAGCAACGTGGAATAGGTAGGCTTGCTTTAGAAGCTCACGAGAATACACCAAATCGGGGAGTACAAGGTGATGTGTGATGGACATCATTTGAGGGCAGGGAAGCTAGCAGCAAGATAAAACTTGAGAAGCGATTGAGAGAAATGGGGGAGGAGTGTGGGGCTAGGAAGGTTTTCAGCTACTTGTTCATGAAGAATTTCGATACAAAATGGAGGGAACGAACCAGAAAATTGACAAGTAAATACTTAAAAAACAGCACGGGGCCAAACCAAAAAGAAATATCGGTTAAGAAGAAGGTGAAGGAAACGGAGACTGACATGTGGAGAATTGGCATGATTAAGAAGTCCGCACTAGAGATCTATCAAAATTTTAAGCCGATAATCGCCAAGGAAAGGATTTATGATTATACTCGCGGTAGTTTTGTACTGCTTGAGGCCAGGACAGGAGTATTGCGAACCAAGACATGTCGGGCTAAATACGTAGGGGTAGACACGGTTTGCAGTGCATGCGGAGAGCAGGAGGAAACTGCCGAACACTTGATAATGTTCATTAAAGGGCTTCGCCCTATTGTTTAGGATGATGGCGTAGAGTTTTTTTAAAGCACTGGGGTTTAGAGACAGCGAGGGCAAAATAGACTTTAAGCGGGTAGAATTAACTAGAAGGAGGTTATCTGATTGGAGGCTAAAGTCAAGGCACGAGTGACAATTAAACAATTCACTGCGAAGTACCAGTCCTATACTTCACTATTTAAAAGGAAAAAAAAAAAGATAAATCTAATTGGTGGTTCACTACAAGTATTACGGCTAGGAGACGTTAGCCGCTGCTCGATCTATAGGGTACAGCCACATCAATCCATCCATCCATACACGTCACTCAAGGCAAAGACTTGAAAGATTGAACTGAAACTTCCGTGCCCGGAGCCATAGCTCAGTAAATAATCTCTGGTAGCGTGGCGTCGCCTACAGACCTTGTCTTACCCCAATACATACATACTGTCCAAGATAGATCCCGACACATACGCACCACAGTGCAGGTTCTGCGTCGCTAAAACAGCCACCCGGTACCACATGGTATGAGAATGCCCACAAAATCCACCTCTACAACCCAGAGCACAGCACAACATTGTAGGGTGGGAAGCAGCTCTGTCCAGCTCGGACCCGTAGACCCAAGAGGCCCTCGTGAGACGAGCGAGGACAGCGGCCCGTGCCAATGGGATCTCGGACTAAGGAGCCCACTCACCGACACTCCTTCCTCGGTGGCAAATAAATGTTTTATTCTCTCTCTCACCCAAGGCCGCGATGCGCTGCTCAGAGACGGCAATCAACCACGCGCGCGGGCAATGTGAAACATTTAAAATAATTTTTTTTTTGCTCGTGCATGGCCTCAAATGGCGATTGTGAAAATATGTTAATATATTCTGGAAAACAGGATGCCTACGCGGGTGCGCGGCTGAACTTAAATATCGTCAGGTCGACAGGATGCTGAAAGTGAGTGTGTGACGGCACTGAAACAGTTTATCGATGTTAAGTGGTAGAAGAGTGGAACGATGAACTCAGTTGTGAGCCATAGCTTGCAACACCTTCCACGGCGAACCATCATTTCATCAAGTACTAATCTGTAAATAAAGCCCCATCATTCATAACGTCATAATCAGAGACGAGAATCACGAGCGGTATCTGGAGGAACACGTTTTATTTTCTGCACACAGGTCATAGCGCATTTCCGAGTAGTGACTCACTATCTGTTTAACACAATGCATTCTTAGTAATTGGTCGCGCGTCCTTTTTTACCCCCGAGAAAAAAGTTTTATATATAACATTGCGCTGCAAGCCTGGTTATGCACCGGAGCTTCAGGTACCTCCTCTTTTCATTGGAAGATGCTCGCTTCTTGTGGAGTACCTTTGTGTAAAAAGGCAAATAGGTGAGCAGAAAAAAAAGGTCACTTGATTGGTGAGACTCAAACCATGTTGTGCGCAGCACAGTGTGACGTTTCTTTTTTTTTTCAAGCAGGAAACAAGCTCTTTCAAGTTGTCACTGTGAAGCTCGTTGTAGCTAAACCACTTTGAAAAGATGATTTCAAAGGTGTCTACACATGCGAAGAGCTTCTCCGAAAGGCCTACCCATAGGCGTCCACACGAGGGGGGCAAAGGGGGCTGGCCACCTGGGAGGGGGCACTAAATCTTTACTATGCATTAGAGGTTCGGTTCGGACTGTCACGGTGGATCGACGTGTTTTTTGAGCGTTCCCGATCGACTACGCAGATAAGTTGTTCTGCATGTTTTGAGCTTATCTTTATAATTATAAGGCTACAGTTAAAATCCCTGTAGCACTTATTTTATTGTACGGCTTTTTCGGGGTCAGTCACCGGGTATTTATTAGTTTGTGTGTGTGTGCGTGTTTGATTTATTTGTCTTTTTGTTTTTTCTTTTGCCACCCCGCTGTGGAGGTGCACGTGTATCGAACACGCAAATTTTTGTAGGAGAGCTTAGACTTTCTCTTATTCGTTGGGCAGGGCTTGAGTTTTGTAATTATCGAGTGAGACAAGTCATAGGGACAATTGATGTCGGAAAGGCATGGTTTAAAAGTCTGTAATGTGTTCAGGATGTGGGGTGGCTTTGAAAGTGGACCCAAGTGTAGAAGCGGAAGGAGAAGAGGCTGACGCGAAGTGTAGGCAATGTGAGGTCGAGGAAAAAATGGAGAAAATGATGGTTGCTCAGAGTGA